GTGAAAATGTAAGAAGTAGAAGTAAAAAGTAGGCTGAAAAATAATTACTCAAGTAAAGTACAGATACCCAAAAATTCTACTTAGTTACTACTTAGTAACAAAGTATTTGTACTTAGTTACTTTACAACTCAGATTTCTTTTTATTTACGGGCAAGGTGAAAAACACCATTATTTCTTCAGAAATTTTATTCTCATTCAATGTTTTTCAAGATTTGTCGAGCTTCATGGACATGTGCAGTGTTGATGAGTTACCTGCATGAACTGAAAAGAAGCCTCAAAATCCTCCACAGGATACATTTTGACACGAAAGAACTTCATGCCCATGATGAGGCTGATGATGCTCTGGACTACGTAAGGACTCTGTTCTTTCAGCCGGAGCTCCTTCAGCTCTGTGATGAACTTTTTCCTGACAGACTGAAACCTGAAACATACAAAGACACACACAGAAACACACATTAACCATAACAAATGTCTAAAATAACCATTTTAATGCAAACTGGTATTACTTTTTAATCTTACTCACTTTGACTGTGTAAGAACTCCTATGACCTCAGCATACAGGTCTGCAATGATGTGCACATTCCCAGTGTTGGGGCCACTGTACCTGTCATTTCAGGTGTGGTTAGGTCAGGGTGACACAAACTTTCTGACATAATAATCCTAACACAGAAAATAATCCACTGACTTCTTACAGAACAAAACAAATCCACAAGTRAGAGTACTTTAGCATTCACTCAGCACTTTAGTTGTGCATTATTTATCACCATCACTGCTCTGTCTGGAAAACAATCGCCACTTACCCCTCTTTGTGTTTGAAGTGCTTGAACGCCAAGTTTAGAACTTCATGTACTAAAGCATCTGGCACAGGATGAAGAGGAATCTGTCATACAAACAGGGATTATTAGTCTRTCTGTTCTTTATTTGACACTACTCATTATAAGGAAAAGTGGTCAACAAAGCTCAAATCTCCAGGACTTTCACCTTAAAATTAAATTCAGATTTAAAGAATCTCAACTTCAGAAAGCCGCTCAGCTGGAAGTCGACATGTTGCTTCGGCTTGTATTTGCTGAAGCCAAGCAGGAAACTCATTGTATTAACACTGCAGGCTGCACTGGTGATTCAATTATCTGGTAAATTAAACTAACGATTCAGAAACAATAATTAAAGTAGTAAAACTATGTTGTTAGAACTCTTTCTGCATGGGGARAGAGGGCATTGTAGATCTGTTTCCATCCAATTTTAATGCGCATTTTAAGCAAACTTTTAAAATGTTGCAAAAAAAGAAATGTGCATCAGACGTGTTTCCATCACCTGGACCCTCATGTATAAACGGTGCGTATGCATAAAAAAGTTGTGTGTGCCAGGTTCTACGCCCACGATGGGATGTACAAAAAACAACGTTGCGTGCACACTTTTCACCTGCCGTGAGAATGTGCGGCAGCCACGCAGTTTTTTCAGTCGACAGTTTTAACTCACAAAGTCACGAATCTGACCTGAATCCACAGAAATATGACTTTGTTGTGTTTTCTGGATGTAAGGAGCATCTGAACACTATGTTAGATTTTTATTTTAGTTTGAGTTTTTATTGTTTAAACTTGAACAATCATGAAACTGAACCCCGGGACTGAAAATCATTWAACCTCAGACAAGAAAAWAGATCAGTCTAAAAATGATCAAAATAACCTCAGTCCAGTCTGTAAACTGGTTTTATATTTTTGTCACATAATTGAAAACCTTTTTGGGTCCCGGGCCAGAAAAACCCGACACATTATGTGCGGCATAAAAAAATAATAATAAAATAAAAAAGGCTGAAGAGAGGGAGCAAAATCGGATGCAAATGGTGGCTCACTGTATGGTAAGAAATTTTTTTTTCTGTTTGTAGCCTTCTGGCAGATGCTGAGTTGAGTTGTGGCCGTAGTGCAGCAGGCTTGCACTTTCTCGCACCAGGCGCGCGCACCTCGCCAGCTGGGAAGGTGTTCATACATGTGTCAAACCCTTTGGATGTTCACCTGTCTAATGAGCCTGAAAAATCTATAATTTTTGCTAAAAGTCCGTAGGCTACCACTCGTACCCACTTGTGGGGGGTGGGGTGGGGG